AATTCAGGTTAACTTAATTAAAAAGACATGTTTTGGGGTTTTAAAAGAGGAAAAATACCCAAAAAAGTCCAAAGAACAAAGTAATAATGGTAATTCCACTTAGAGATGACCACTCTACTTTGCAAAAACTGACTAAATTTTACTTACTTACTAAATTTTAATTTGGCTTGAAATTAGTAGAAGGAACTGAAATGAAGAAGTTGGTAACCCTCAGGTATTTATTCATAACAGAAATATTTATTCTTAAACCATGGTTCAAAGGTTAAAAAATAAATTGTCAAAAGCTACTGAAGTTGAGTTGAGATACATAGTTTTTCTATGTATGTAAATTCATGGTTTCAATGGCCACAGTTTAATTCCCCAGGAGGACCACTGTTTTTACAGAAATTACAGGATGTTTTTGATTTTTAAACAAATAAAGTCCTTGAATTTTCAGATGGAAAACAAAGGAACAAACTTTAAAACCTGTTCACGATGAACATCTAACAGAAGCTAGAGAGTGACTAGTTTTTAAGTCAGATAACTACAGATGTCGAATCACTTACTATAAAAAAGCAAGACAAAGTGACTTTTAACTAGCATTGCAAATCTAGGGAGGCTATACATGAATTCTGAGTATGTCAGCTCTGAATGAACTGATTCTTGGTTTTGGATTTATCTGTACCAGCCTGAATTTTCTCTTAAGAGGAGTGGAGTCTTTCCATGTTTTTTTGTCTTTTTTTTTTTTTAATTTTATTTAAAAGGAAAAAGAGAAAAAACAAAACAAAACAAAGCGGTGTAAGGGTACAAGTAATACAAAGCTACAAAAAAAACCAAAAAAACAAACAAAAAAAAAACAGTAAGAAATCACCAGTTAATAGATAACACATTATCGTCTTAGAGATAGTTGCTCAAGTTGTTTTTTTTTTTGTCTTGATTCACCATAAAAGTAATTATTTTCAATTTGGAAATAAATATTTGAGTAGCATATCCTTTCAAAGTCACAGCGAATAATTGTTTAACAAGTCCACACAAGAACTAGTTGACTTTCTATAAGAATGTGCCTGTGTTTCATTTTGCTAGTTTAGATCCCACATACTCTACTGTGAAGTTATGTTAATTTGTATTTTTCTACTGGATTGGGAAAATTCCCCAAAGATTATGACTTTATTATCCCGAAGGACATTAATTCAATCAGCTTTGTAACCTAGTAATCTTACCCTAACATTCCTTTTTTGGTCTTGAAAATGCTTTTCCTGTTGGATTGTAAGTGGTTTTACAATTTGTTTTTACGTTGTTTGCTTTTTTCAGAAACGGTCTTCTACGTAGTACATTGTAGTCAACACATCTTGAACTCAAGGTAATTCTCCTGCCTCGGCCTCCTAAGTGCTGGGATTTCAGGCATAAGACACACACACACCCAGCTTATATCAGTTTTACCATCTGAGGGTTAAGTCATAAATTAATGAGCAACCAAATAAAACCTTTGACATGCCCTTTCTTTTTCTGCATGGGTCATGCATTTGCCATTTTACCAATTGGACTTTGATAGCTTATGTTTATATCTTGACTCACGCTGTCTCTTCTCAGCTACTGTGATTACTCTGCAGGCACAGCGGAGTCTACAGTGTGAATTTCCCACCTGTCCCTCTGAGTCTAACTTAGAGATGCTGGCTTTGGGCCTGGAGACCCACATTTGACAAAGCCCCCATGTGGTTCTGGTAAAGAGCCTTATGCCACTGGGTTTCAGGTTTCTGAGGGGATGCAAAGGGCTGGGCTTAAAAGTTGAGACCCGGGATAGACTGAAACCCGGCAATTCATTTTCCTGAACTTTGGCCTGGACGAGGGATCTCATACATGACCAGAAATCTGTATACAAGGTCACAGCCCAGGAGCTTGCCAGCGGTCAACTCTTTACTGATGCTACCTAACTAGTGGTTTTGTATGTCTTGACCTAATAACTCTTTATGTGTTTCCAACTTGAAGGTGATTTGGCACCAAATTTTGAATATCACAATTGGGACGACACAGAATTTATATCATTTGAGGAAAGTGCTTTGTATCCTTCATCAGATTTAAAACAAAAGTTTCAGGACTTGCTTTCCAGAAGTAACACATCACATACAACTTTTTGCATATGATCTCAAGGAAAATTCTGGTCCCCTTCTAGGGCCAGGGACTCAACATTAGTCCTATTTCACAACTTTCTTTCTGAAGATAGTCTTCAGGAACAGAGGTTTGCTGCCACCTACTGTCACATGCTTAAGCTGTGTTTGCTGCCAGTGTCCTAGTCTGGTGTTTTGCAGAGCTGTCATTTTACAGTAAATGACAGAGTAGCACAACTCTGGGCTGAAATGGGCACTCCAAACCTCTTTGGGTTTAACCTGCACATTGCACTGAATTGTCATTTAGTGCAATTTAGGGGAGAAAACTGTGCTTCAGTGGAACACTATTCATTGTCTAGATTCCTCCATACTCTTCGGGTTTATTGGTTTTGATTCTAAGGCAACTTAGTTTACAACTGTTCTGTAAATGACAATAACGCAAAAATAATTGTTCATAGAGATGCAATTATTCAGGTACTGGTGACTGAACTCAGGGGCTCCCTATCACCGAGCAATATCCCTGTGTCCAGTCTTTTTTTGTTTTGATAGTTGCCCAGGTTGACTCTGAACTTGTGACGTTTCTGCCTCAGCCACCTGAGTAGCTGGTGTTATAGTTGTGCCCCACTGACCCTGGCTGTCCTCTTGATTTCCTTTCTCCGCTGGGGAAGAGGCTACTTTTGCTTCCATTTGTTCATTTATTTCAATTTTCTGGCCTATAAGGTCTCTTCTTTGTTTTCTCCTTTAGACTGATTATAACACCTGCTTGGTCCCCTCATTAAGAATTTAATAAAATCTTTAACACAGGCTCAATTTGATATCTGTGAGTCAGAAAATTATCCTTTAATAAAGGCCAGTTTCATATTGGCTTTCTCGTTCCCATTCAGAGAACTGGTTTTTTCCTTGAAAACTCAGTCTAAGGAGATGCTCACCCCCTGCAAATAATCTTTTGGGATATTAATTTCCCATTCTTTTTCCTGCTGCTCCATTAAAACAGGTAATATTCCACCTTATGGTTCTAGGAAAGTTACATGAACAGTAAACAAGGAGCACATCAATAGGGCTTTATTTTTACTTTTTGGTGGTTCTGGGAGTTGAACCCAGGGCCTTCTCACTGAGTGATGGCTATTTAAAATTTTTATTTTCAGATTAAGTCCTTGCTAAGTTGCCCAGGCTGGACTCGAACTTCCATTCTCCTGGCTCAGTTTCCCAGAGTGGTGGGACTATAGGCATATACTCACAGGACCTCTTTATATGTTTTGTTTGTTTCCTAAAGCTTTAGTCTTTAAAATAATTTGGAGACCTGGAGAGGATGTAAATCTTCAAGAAGGCAGTGACTTCCTTTCACAAAGCAACAAGTTGATCTCCAGTGGAGGGGAGAGTGGAATGGTGGGACCAACAGGACCAGGCACTGAGAGGCCAATCCACAGGGGCTGACCAAGGGGAGCCGAGTGCCAGGAATGAGCATAGGTAGGACCAGGAGGGCGCTAAAGATAGGAACCCGAAGGTCAGTGTTGGACTCCTTTGTGGCCTGAAGGCCCTTTACAGTGTTTGTGTGTATAAGAATGAATTTGGCTTCTAACTTCTGGAGCTACTTTAAGTACCCCAGGTCTTAAGAGGCAAATTATAATCTGATGGACTCATTTATGTTTCTAGGCTATATTTTCAAAGTGAAACAGAACAGAAAACATCAGGATATATCAAATGTAGTGAAATCAAGTGTCTCCTAAACATTTTATTTCAGTTGCAGCAGAGTACATATTATTTTTGTGATGTAGCTATGTAATTTTACTGTAGAGAAAAAATTACAACTCTAACCCTAAAGACATAAACATAGTCAAATGCAGTTCTATAAGCCTTGCTGTACAAAAAGACAGCATTTTTTGAGGTGGGACCCAGTGGTAGAGGTTCACTGGGGGTGAGCCCATAGGTGGTGTTAGGACCCTACCCCTTCCTGTCTCTGTTTCCTGGGTGCCATACGGCTGGATGACCATGTGGTCCTAGCATGAAGCACTGTGCAGCCACAGGTACAAACCTGCAGGGTCACGAGGCCATGGACTGAGCTGTCTGAACCCATGAGCCAGAGTAAACCTTTGCTCCTTTTATGCTGATTAGCTTAGTACTTTGTCAGTCATGGAAAGCCGACTACCACACCTGCACAAACAAAATTACTATAATTACGCATCATTTCCTGTAAGGCTATGGCACTTTATGAGATAATCTTGTCCCTGCTGGCCCTATGATGAATCTCAATTTTAAAAATGTGTTAACTGTATAACAGCCATTCATAGAATGAACTAGATGTAAAGTGTTCAGAAGCTAACCCCAAAATGAACTCAAACTGTAAATAGTATTTATTATGAGATTAATAGCACTGCTCTTTTGGAAGTTTAAAAGTAAGGTGGCATTTTATAAAGCACTTACCTGTCATACCGTAAGCTTTGTACCCTACTCGTGGACTTGAGTCTGTTTTGGAAGAGACGTGGATTACCTCATAGAGTTTTCTAAAATCCTTTTAATGGCCTCATAGTTGTGAGGCAGGCTTAATGTAAAAACCCACTTGTGAAGTCAGGGACAAAACAGGGGCAGCCACAGACAGCCCTGGAGTTGGGAAGTTTTGCCTGTTGGAGATAAAGCCATGAGCTTACCTGGTTTCACACTGTCTCTTTTTCTCACTGGGTTTAAAGCGGTTATAGGAAGCTTCTGTCTTGTTAGCACCAACTGTGTTTCAAAAACTGTAATCTTAAAGGGTCCAGAAAAAGAAATGATGGCCTAAACCAAGAAATAGAATGAATCTTCACTTACCACTTTCCAACAGAGAAAGGTATTAAGTTTTAAAATTTCAATTAAAAACTAGCGCCTGGCACTGTTCTTCCTAATATAGTGTTACAATCCCCCAAACAGAACACTAGAACACAATCAAAGCACTCTGGTTATTTTATTAAACACCATTTGGGATATTGCTTATATTTTAACAGATATTTCATTTCAATCAAGAGTACTCTTTTTGTAAAGATATTCTTGAAATATAAAGGCTCTTGAAACAATAGACAGGAGAGGGGAAGATACATCAGTCTGGGATGTTTGCTAAATTTACATTCAAAAAGGTGTCATTCAAGGAACATTGCTTTGGTCATATCCTTGCAATGACTAAGACACGGTTAAAGTAAAAACTCCAGCTGCTTTGGTGAGATAAATGTGAATTTACATTCATAGCATGATGATAAGGCACGGGTCACACTTATCTATGAGACGGGGTGCGGGAGCCGCCTCTGCCTCTCTGCCAGCCTTGCAGTCTGGCTGTTTTCTCCTGGTGGAGATGGTCTGAGGCAAAGCAGCTGCGAGAGCCTGGCTTAGGGAGGGGATACTTTTAAAACCTTCAGTACAACTTTCCTTTAAACCGGACATTCATTTTCAGTGTTGAGTACCATGACCCAACACTCATCTGACATTCGCTTTCTCTTATAAAGCATGTATTTCAGAATCCAAATGAATAATGAAGACTACTTACAAATTCGCTGGCAACACAGTTTCTGAGCAACAGAAGGTTTTCTGATAAGATGCTTTGACCACTAGAAGTTTCAATTTTTCAAAAGTTACATTTCATTCCAGTCCCAAACAGTTACAAAATTCTAAGAGGCTTCTCTGGGTTCATAAAGTGGCTTCTAACACAGATCTAAGCATTAATAAACATTATCTATTACATAATAATATTTAAATTTCGGATTCTTGTCCCCACATTATAGGTAGATAAAACAGCACAAAGAAAACTGGTTTTTCCATGGTCAGTCAGCAGTAAAATTTATCTCTTAGTTCCTAATTTAGTGGTTTATATGCTAAATTACATAGCTGCTTCAGCGGCTGGAACCTTACATAAACAAAATGAGCCCAAAATTACATTCTCACCAAAGAAATTAATTGGATAATTTATCAAGTGTGAAAATAACATTAGAATATTCTGCACGACCGATCAAGGGCTTTCAAATAAATGCATTCCAAAAATATCCCTTCAGGCAAAATAAATAAAATTTCAGCCTAACATTTACATAAAAGTTTAAAATTAAAGTGAGGACTACACTGCTAGTTACAAATATAACAAGTTACTCCAAAGAAGAGAAACCAAAGCCTAAAAGCTAGTGAAAAGGAGTATCTACCGGAGCGCAAATACAGCAAAATGTTATTGTACATTCTAGGTTACAGATGTCCACTCAATTTTAAACCTCCCTGTATGTTTGAAAAATTTCATGATAAAGTGCTGAGTGAAGACGTTGAGAGTGACATCTATGCCTTAGTGAACCTAGAAGTTACAACACCTATTAGAAACCGGTCAGTTTCAACCTGTCTTCATTTAATGTTACTACATGTTTGCGTGTCTATCTGTGTGCTAAGGACAGGAGGCGGATGAGTGACCAGAACACTGTCCCTGCCCTACATTCTACCTTCCCGGGGGGGCCGGCATGGAAATAACTGGTTAACGTGGCTTTGGTGGCTTTCTAGCAGCAGGACTGAGCTCCATGCAGAGCCGCAAATCTGCAGAGCAGAGCGGCATTCCCTTCCTTCCCTCCTCTACCACGCGAGGCTAGCGTCCCGCAGACAAAGCAGTGACAGGAGAAGGAGCACCTCATTTCCTACTCCACAAAAACCTTTTCCTGATCCTGAATTATTTTTAGTTTGACTGTATTGTGACTTCCACCTCTGTAGGCAGAGGTGAGATGGGGAACTGTAACACACTGGAGATGTTTAGTGAAACAACTAGGCAACTTCTGTCAAGTGTCAGTCTTTGACTCAATGTAAAAGCAGTGCACTGGGTTATAATCTGCTGAGATCCATTCAGATTGGTTTCATGAGGCCATCTTCCTAGATACTGAGAGTCTGGAGGTGCTAATTCATTTTAAAGGCACAGTGACAGCATCCAAGAAGCTAGCTACAGGCTACTGTGTGAATCTGGGAATTTAAAAAGCATTATTTCAAAAGACACATAAACTACCATTCCTTTTTCCTCAAGGCCTCCAGAGAAGTAGGCATCACACACACACACACACACACACACACAAACCTAATGACATTTTATATAAAATGATGAACAGAATTTAACTGAGCCAGGAGCAGACCAGTGTTAGTAACTGAATCCGTGTAAAAGTACTTCAAAGTCGTAAGTTAGAAAAATCTAATCATTAAAAATGTTTTTTAGTCACTAGAGAATTCAGGAGTCCCTAGATAAAGGGATGACAAGCAATTGCTCCTCAGTAAGGAGAATGTATGCTAATTGCATGCATAATTCATAAGAAGGTTCTTAGTTTGCCCGAGACTCACTGGCATAGAACCAGTAACCAAGAACGCAATTTATAACAGTCACAAAAATTAACTGCTAGAGATCACTTAGCATCACTATTGGCCTTCATTAGGGTAAGAAAATCCACTTTTCCTTCTAATTCACTTTTTGTATTCTTTGTCCCCCAAGTAAAAGTTGAATTATATTTTAGTATAGATGGAAACTGCTGCTATTTCAACAGATAAAGAACAGTAATAAACTACCAAATTACAAGTCAGCATCCAGACGTGTTTTCTGAGAGCAAAATGTTTGAACTGCAGCATAGAAAAAGGGTAAACACTTTTAAAAACATTAATGGTGGTGAAGATGACTATGTTAAAAGATGGTTAATAAAATATAAATCCACAGTTCAAATGTGTGTAGACATAACAGGTGAAACTAGGTTGCTTAGGAATGGGGTAGGAGATTCAAACACAAAGATGCCAGTTTCCAGGTTCAGACCTGATTCCAAGTTGAATCTTATGAAAAACTTTCTATTTGAAAGACTGCTGAAAATTGGATCTAGTTTGTATCTACAACAGCAAATGACTAGTATAAAACAACCTGTTTATTACAAAATACTCAATGTTGGGAATTACAAAAATCATTCACTTTAATAAAAGAAGAGGTGAGCCAGATGATGGACACTGAGTTGAAGTAAAACGTCAGTGTCAGCAAAGAGAAAGGTGAAGCAAGTTTTCACTGGTAAAACTCTTTGATTGGTATTATCAACGTTCTTTGGGTTAAAACTCAGTTTTGTAAGATAGAACTTTAATGGCTAGGGGACCTTAGAAACATTCAGCCCAACTTCCTTTAGAGATGGGAAGTTGGAAGCTATGAAAAGTTAAGGCTATGCAAGTAGCTGTCTTTAAAGTTTCTAAATGAGCAAAAATAAATAAATAAATTAAAAAAGAACACAACCAAGGGAGGAAATGACTCCTCTTAGTACCTATCACAGAGACATGCTTTTAATAGAAATTTAACCAGGAAGCTTTTAAATATCACTTCCTTTTTCAAATAGGAACTCAGCGCTTGTGGCAACAATTAATTTTCTTTTCTGATAAAAGTACTGTAGAAAATGTGAAAAGCACAAGAATGCACAAAAAATAAGCCATCCGAAATAATTTAGGATATTTTCTTCAGGCTATTTCTATGCAAACACAGAACTAACTCTTGTTTACTTTTTATATGGAGTTTGATTATTTATTGACTGACAAACAATTATCGGGTAGCAGCAGCACAGGTGTTCCTACTTAGGTGGCGGAGCTGCAATCATTCTCAGGAGCTGTTTGGAAAAAACAGCTAAAGGACACAACCTGGCAGGAAACAGGCTGGTAACTAGTGATGGGTGAGCCAGTGGTAGTCACGTGGTGCGGGGAACAAGGTCTTTTCCTAACACCGTCACTGTGTGACAAGAGCAAGAACCTTCACACTGAATGGGACACTAAGGGAGTGGAGAGAAAAACACAAGGAAAGGTCACAATGATACTTGCTATAGTTATTTGGGATGAAAAATCAGACTCCTCTCCACATACAAGGACTCTGAGCTTCCTCCTGAAAGGAAGACAGATCTTGAATGCTGGCTGGGGTTCTGATTTGGGCTCTTGGGACATGTAATACTATTTCTCATTACCAGAAACTTTGAATAATCTTGTGTAAAACAGTAGTGGGTGGGTCCTTTTGATTCTTTATAAATACTCATGCTACTTATCTGACCACCTGAAAACTAGATACCACAGTATTTTATTGCATATAGGCTGTTAACAAACACATTATGGCATGTATATGTCTTCTCCCTACCGGGAACATGTGCCCACTGCAACACACTCTACAGAACCCTCCTCAGAACCTACTGGACTAAAGCACCCTACTCAGGGAGGCTGTGCTGGGATACTACCTCTCTGACTTCCAACCTTGGTTTAACTTCCTCTGTGCCGCCAAACATTGCTTAAATTTAAAAAATTTGTTTTTAGGAAATCAATTTTGAATCCCTGAAATAAAACTAAAGGGTCATCAGAAGGGCTGAAACGTTTCTGGCTCATATAGCTTCCATCACCAGTGAGATGCCATAATGGTTTCTTTTGATTCTTATGTTTGTGATTTTGTGAGCACAAAACAAACAGAAGACATGGGCAGGGCTGCGGAATTTACTTTCTACTGAACAGACCAAAAGGGTTCTGCAGAGCAACACTGAGCCAGCCGCTGGGGGATACGCGGGACTCGGCATTGGAAACCCTGGAGATACCACAGATGACCTCAGGGAAGGACATAACCAAGGCGGAATCAGACACTTACACAAGTTACTTAACAGACATGTTCACAACAAGTAAGTCCACACTCAGGATTTAAACTAGTCCCTGAGTATTGGTAAACATAAGGAGGAAAGGAACGGGGTGAATGAGAACTTAAAGTTTCTAAGGATTATGCTTAAAATCCTCTGAAATGCAGGACATCAAATAAAATGAGAACTTATCTTTCCGGAGCAGTCACTCTTTCACTGGCAATAGCATAGGCAGTAGTGATCTCACATTTAATATATTTCATAGGATACCACAAAAATAAGCCAGGTTTTTAAGCAAAACCCATTATTATGAGAGGTTTGAGCGTTAGCAGTACATGCTGGGTTTTTGTTGTCATTGTTTGACAGCAAATACACTGGGGCGACCGTAAAAGTACAACAAAGAGGTACACTAACTCACAAAGTGGTCGCTGCTGCCCAGAGCACTTCAAATGTAACATTTCTGAAAAGGCATGAAGTATGTAGATTCCTAGGGAAAAGTGCCTTACGTATGTAACAGGAAGATGCAGCAAGTGTCTCTTCAAGAACATTCACTGGTATTACCTTTTCCCCACTGTTTCTTTCTCTTTGTTTGCATATTTTTCTCAAATACAAGGCAAGGAAAGCCATTATTTTTCAATACAGTTCTTCTTTTTAGACGAATGAAGGGATGCTACACCCCTACATCAGTACTTCGTGCCTGAAAACCCTCCTTTCGAAGGCCACCCATGTCAAAGCGGGTAGAAACTTCACAGCGCACTAGTAACGTATCGTCCTTAATGAAGGTTCTTTGTCTCAGGGCTTCCAGGTGCATGAAAGTTACATAGCCAAAACCTTTTGGGTTCCGTGGGATTGTGGGCCGCTGGAAGGCTAGCAGCTCTGGTTTGGCATCCATTATCTCTTCATGGTTTTGCCTTACTGGTGCTTCAGACTGATCGAGAATTGTAAGCCGTATTGTCCCCTGGAAGGGCCAAGGGAGGTGGCTGTCATACTCTCCTTGCATTGTGTGGACGAACAGGGATATATAGTTTGCACAGCGCTGAGCAGTTGGTAACTGAAGGTGCAGGCGCATGCACAGTTTGTACCCAGGTTTGCCTGTGTAGAATCCAGGGCTATGGATGACAACAGGCTTCTCCTCTTCCTGAGACTTTAAGTGCATCCCGAAGTTGCCAATCTTCCAAATGTAAATCCCATTGCACTGTTGTGCTTCGATTTCCGCAACTTTGTCCTCGAGGGTTCGAATAGTTCGTTTAAGCTCACTTACATACGTACACTGAGTTTCCATCTTAGCTGTTAGCTCCCGGATTTGATGGTCTTGTCTTACAAGGCGACCCTCTAATTGTTGAATGGTTTCCTGGAAATTCTGGACCTCTGAGTGGCACCCAGAGGAAACCCGGGACAGAGAGGCAGAATCATATGGCAGCATATCACGCGGAGGCGCGGGAGTTAAAGCAAGGTTTAAACTATGAACAGCCTGGGCCAGCATTCTCATGTGCGATTGGGTATTCTCTTGTAGGTGTCGTGCCAAGTGATTCCTCTGCATCTAAAAACCAAGTACAAGCCTTAGGTGGGGACCAGATAACTGAGGACTAAGAAGGACCTGGCCAGGCCAAGTAACATGTCTTTAAGTTCTACAGATTCTCTCAATCTTGTATAACTTTCCTGTGCCTTCACTAAATTGTTGATCCAATGAGATGATATTACCTCTTCACTAAAATCTGAGGCTCTCTGAAAACTATTCTCAGCTTTCCTCAAATGAATCTCTTTTGATCTACAAAGATACTAGTGTCTACACTCACATTCAAGATGTTAAGAGTAACGCTCTATCTGTACTTGCACTTGGTGATCCCTTCCTCTACCTTCAAACTCTCTTCCTTTACATTTTCCCACAAAATACAGCTATTAAGATATCCCCCATTAGAAAAGGGCAAACCTCTACTGATTTTATATTTCCCTCTGATTAATACCATTTTCTGCCTTTGCCTTTAAGGTCGAAGTAATGTACCCATTTCTTCATTTGGAATGTAAGTCTACTCCAAACTGGAATATTTGCCTTCTCCATACTATCTGAAGGTAATCAAGAACATCTTATTTGCTAACTAAAATAGTCATAATGTAACAATGTTTATCATGAAGAAAATTCCTGCATGTTACAGGAAAATTAAAAGATGATTTTTAAAAAGTTACTTATTATTTCACCCAGCTTCACTAGTACTTTGATATTATTTTTCAGGTCTTTTTCTCTGCACACACAAACAATACCCAATTTTTTCACAAAATGTAATCACAGCACATACTGTTCTACCTTTTAAATTATTAAATACTTATTATAAGTTAAAAAAGCATAATAGGAAAACAAAAGAGTAATTGTACTCTCTAGAAAGAACAACACTTGACACCACTGAGCTCTAGTCTTGAAGACCACCTGGAGCCATATGATATTTTCATTTTGCCTGATTCATCTGTTTCCATAACATTGTTCTTTCATGGTTCTTTTCCCCTGCTGATTTCTCTTTCTTGGGGTTTTTTGGTACCAGGCATTGAACTCCAGACCTTGTGTTTGCCAGGCAGGGCGCTTATGCTGCTCAGTTGTACCCCTGGCCCTTGACTTCTCTTTCCTGTACATATTTATTCTCTATGATCACTATCACACCTTCCTTTATCACAAAAAATCACTCTCCAAAATCCAAATTTTGAGTCCAATTTCTCTTTGGCACTGAAGACCACAAATGCACCTCATGTCATTTGTCATCTCCACCTGAATGTTTCACAGCTGGGTGAACTCAAATTTATAACTGAATACATTTAAAAGTCAACTGTTTTTTTTAAACCTCTCCCTGTATTCATTCTGCTTCTGAATGGCCCTTCCCCACCTATCCAGGGGCCCAGGCCAGAAATCACTCTAGGAGCCTCCTCTTCTTTGTTCCTCCTATCTCCGCAGCTCCACAGGCGATACACCTTCCCTCTATCCTCTGTTTAACCTCTGCTTAGGTGCATACTGGCTCCTGGATCTGCAGGCTGTTTGTATCATCCCAAGCTCTAAAAGGTTTGCCACTGTTGCTCTTAACGCACTGCTGTGTGCTTCTGTGTCTGTTCACATCATCAATGACTTTATCACAGAACCAATCACGCTATTTACAAACATATTCTTGTTTGTATTCTCCACTAGACTACATAATTGAGTATTTTCGATTTATATTTAAGAATTCAAATGTGGAAAAAAAATCAAACTAAACCAAACAAAAAAACACCACCAACGAAAGGAAGTTACCTTCTCATGGCAACCAAAAGTACTGAAGGTGCATGGGACTGGGGCCGTAGGACAGTCTAGGTCATAGTGAGTAGGCATCTGAAAATTAAAACAAAGGTCAAAAAATGTTTTTCCCTGCATCTGAGGGTCCAGCCTGATGAGATGACATGTAAAAGGCAGTTTATGTTTTGTCTAAACAAAACTGTGTATTATTGATGGCTGTTCTGGGGCAACTATGGCAAAGCTAAGTGGCAGAAACCTGTCACCCATAAAGACTGAAATAATATTCATTTCTAAAAATCCCTTAGTATTTGCCCCCTCCAAATTCAACAATGTTCACTTCCTAAGAGGAATTTGTTTCTCTTACAGCAACTGGCACCCTCTAGTGGTATTTTCAAGAAAGAACAACTTCTGACTAGTACAACTGAAAACTGTACCATTCAACTGCATGCATTAAAGCCTCTGAAAAGACTCTACTTCCCTTATGAAAACTGTCCACAAATCACCTTACCTTTTGTTAACCTGGGAATATTTTGGTTAAACTGATGGGATTCAGATATTTGGGGGCTAAAATGTTAGAAGATATTTTAAGCACATTCTAGAAAGCCTCAGGCCCTTGATAAGGGAATCAAAGATACACTGTCTCATTCTTTGTGGTGCTGGGCACTGAACTCAAGGCCTTCACACTGACCTGGATAGCTAGCCCTTTTTTAGTCTCCATGTTTGAGACAGGGTCTTGCCAAGTTGCTAAGTTGCCCAGACTGGGATCAAACTTGTGTTCTTCCTGCCTCAGCCTCTTGCTGCCATATACTTGATGGATTATTAGGCCACCATAACCTGCTTCAAAAACACATTCTTTAGAGCAAGTTCCATTTACAAGATCATATTCTTTGAAAGTGGTATTGAATGTTGGCTGTACAGATCGGAGGGCAGGTTAACAGCATAGCTAGGATCAAAGCTGAGGTTTTCTGATGGGTTTTTTCCTAGTTTCTTTCTGCTGGGTTTTAAGTATGCTGCATGATTTCCTTTACATATTAAAAGACAGCAAAAAGGAAAACCAAGGAGGTGGGGTGTAAGCAAAAAGAAGTTTAACACCTTCAAATTAAGATTTTGCTGGAAAGAAACTAAGGGACTCTGTTAACAGACAAATGGAAAAGTTTAGTCAAGTGACAGATTTCACTTGTTTCTACGTAGTAAGGTAATCAATAATGACCTCCAGGTTTGCAGATTTTATGGGTGTATATCTATTTGGTGACTAATATTTGTATTTTGTGGGTAAACTCCCCAAATGTCAGAAGATAACAATCAGATGGAATTTTCCTTTCTCTACTAATCATCAAAACTGTTTTTATACTTATGGTCTCTGATGATGGCCCATCTGTGGCCTAAATGACAACTAGAATAGGGCACGTACGTCCTGGAAATCTCAGACCTTCCAGAGCCTCAGGAACGCAGCTACAAATCATGTTTTGCTGCTCAACAGCTTTGCTTCTCTTCTGGCTATTCTCTGGGCACCTCATTTCACAGTGTGTAAACACGGAATTCTTAAGGCCGTTCTTTTCTTGGGCAGGGGCTGTACTTCAGTGGTAAGCACTTGCCCAGCATGTGCAAAGCCCTGGATTCCATCTCAAAACCAAATACACACATGAGAAGTTATTTCTTTCCCTAAATGGGACCTTTAATTGTGCTTATCTTTAAATATGATCTTATACAGATTCATAAACTTAGGTGTGATGTGACTTAGAGATTTTAAGTGCTTAAAGAATTACTGGATTTTTGTTCTTTCACAAGTTTTTATTAATTACATTAATGTATGTGCTATACATAAACATAAGTATTATGTTAGTGATTTAGAAATTTTAAATTTTAAATAATGAAAAGCACCTAAAGCACCTCGAAAGTATTAATTATATTAATTTCTATGAAAAAATATTTGTGAAGTTTTATAAATTCTAATACTTCTTCAACTTGTGTTGATTTGTCATACTGATTTAAATTTTCAGTTAAAAAGCTAACACTTCTTTAAGCTATGTTGAAGCTTTTAATTCATGGAAAAGAATCATTTTACCTGTTCTCTGATGAGCACGGTGTGGCAGTATTCACAGATGACATTTGCCAAAGGGCAGTTCTGGTCATGGATCTAAATTTTATGAGAGAAATATAAGAAAAGCATGAAAAAATTTTAAAAAATATAAACAACCAATTTTTATAAAAAGTATTGTTTTCATCATGAACAAATGAAATATACTGATTTATGTTAGGCAAAAATGTGAGAACAGCCTTTATACAGCTATTTTCTAGCCTTCCAGCTCCCTTAAAGAATATGGCAGTCTACAAAAGAATTTCTAAATCACTTCCTTTTAACCCGAAGCAGTCTATTTGTGACTAGTTTGGATATAATTTGCTCATACTATAATTCTTCAAAGGCAATCGCCTTCCAAAAGTTTTCAGCAGCAGCATGACAATTTAATTAAAACTCTTGTCAGAGTTACTGAACAAATGTACTATTAAGGTGTGAGGCTTTGGTCCCTAAGTTCTCATATGCTGTCTACTACAATACAATGACTTTAGTTCAGTTGATACACTGAGAAATAATTAACCTTACAGGTTAAGTCCATCTAATATATTCAAGTCTCACAAAGAGACGTTAATTTTTCTTAATTATGACTAAAATTTCTCTATCCTTTTAGCAAGTGAGCTTTTAAAAAGTATTTTATCAAATAACAAGAATGCTTGATCACAGTAAAAATCGTAACATGAATTAATAACAACTAAAGTTTAAGGAAGTATCTAAGTATTAGCTAAAAATAAAAATTATAGAGTTTATTTTGGTAGATAGCACAAAAGATACAGATAAAGGGCTAGAATTTGGTGATAAGTTTTGACACTAACATTAATATAAAACTATCCAACTTCTCCATATTTTGATCTCTGAATAAAAATTGTTCTGTCTTTTTGGTGCTGTCAGGTACCATGAAGTTTCTTTTTAAAAGGCACACTTTTTAATGAAAGTATAAAATATATACTAAAATGTAAATATAATATATAGGACAATAAATCATCACCAATGGTATAAACTTCAGGGGATTTAATTATCCTTTGTATCAACTCATTCTCTTTTTTAAGATAATCCTGTATAAATCTTAGATAGCAATCATTTTTATGTCTGCAATCAGAAATCCACACATATAGGAGACCTGACTACCAAATGCATTTCCTAGCAGCTTTGTTGCCTGTAAATCTATAATAGTAGTTACTAGGATAAACAATATTTATAAGAAAAATATGTAAATATAGGGGCTGGGGATAAGCACCAGCCTTGCAAGCAGGTGGTCTTGAGTTTGATCCCCGGTACCGATAAAAAGAGAAAAAGAAAAATAAAATTGAAAAAAAAAAAAAAAAAAAAAGATTATTTAAAAAAAAAAAAAAAGAAAATGTAAATATAAACTACACACTTATAAAATACTGATTATACTTTCATTTCCGACAAGTCAATTTTCCAAAAAATAATGCAGAATCACAATTCTAGTCATATCCTTATCTACTGCTAACCGTCTCAAATATACATTAAGGCCTGGTTTTAAAAAAGCAGTAGAATTAACAAATCCAAGTCGGTACATACCTCTTTTTCTTCAAATGCCATGGATACAGCACAGTTTATACAAGAAACTTGTCTTCTTGGACAGTCCTTGAGGATATGAATATTAAGCTGGCATTTTTGAATTGGGCGTTGGCATTGGAGACAATTAATAAGAGCAAACTCACAATGTGCTTGATGATCCTATAAAGAAAAAATAATCAATTAGTCTTTGCTCGTCCTGAGTCTTCTGAAGAAAAATCTCTTCTAAGAGTTTCTGGCTCTCTTTTTTAGAATTGGCTACCAAAACTACATTATCTACTATACACAGCATGACTTACAATATAAAAGACAATGGATTCTTTTCAAATAGTGGTGCAGACTATAAATTTATATGAAGAATGTGAATTCTCAAGTTCATACATTCAGTTAGGGAAGTGAATTAGAAGAAGGTTAGACTCCCAGAATAGCAATTCAGTACAATTTTTAAGAGCCACTTCCTCAAAAAGGACTAAGTAAAAGGGGCAGACTGCAAGTCTACCTTAAATGTTTAATTTCAAATACAATTAAAACTATTTCTGGTAAAAGTCACCAAACTAAGAATTATTTTAAGAACACATTCTTGCATTCTGTAATGCTTTCAGTTCATGTCAAATTAACTGAAAAGTGCTTCATTTAGTTCACAATAAAATGTACAATTTAGAAAAACAGAAAAAAGTCCTATGAGGGTACTAACACAATAGTTACATGGGACTTACTGCGTATTTCAAATGAAAGAAATGACGCTAATGCACTGAAGTGTGACACCTGAATTTACAATGCTGTCCATCAGTTTTGCTCCCCACAGTTGTAGAATACTGATTTTTTTAATAATTGCTGGGGAAGAGCTAGAATAAACTAGATAAAAAATTCCTAGTTTCTTCTTACATTTATATTTAAAAATCAAAGAGTTAATATTCACTCAGAAAGAATTTAAGAACTATTATACTCTTGGTAACAGAAATGCACAAATTAACACAGCACAATTTCTATTCTCTAGAAGCTTTCTGGCACATAAACACACAGCTAGGAAATGACTTTAATACCTCAAGATGCCTCAGTTCCATCTTGTGCAAGCAGCCTTCATTTGGACATTTCACCATGAGAGAAAGAATCTCTCGTTTTGCAAAATTGTCAGGAAATAGTTGATTTTCCAGTAGAATTTCATTGTCAACGGGACATTTGTGACCTGCATCCCTAAAAGCAACAAGATGTATTCAATTAGTTGATTGAAACATTCACATTATAAAAACTGACTTTTATCATACAAAGTAAGGTTAGTACATTTTATTGCATAATACCACCAAAATAAACTCTTTTATGGGTAACTTATGAATTTAGATTTTAGATTGTGGAACAGATTCCAGCTCAAAAATGACACTTACTGAATAAAATGGTGTTTTGATTGGCAAAAAATGAAGTGAAAGTGAAGAATGGGAATACTGACAGTCTGGCTGGCCTCCATCCTGATAGCACCTGTGCAGTCCCCTAGTGAGATGGACTACACTGCTCCTGACACTGAAAACTCATCTGCAGGACACTGCTCAGTCACAAGTGAGCCACTAGCAGTGCCTGTGAGGCTCACACGAACGTGTACTATGCAACACTCCCTAAGACACTCCAAGCTATGTGCAACGGAAGTTCTCTTAATTTGTGTATTTAGATAATAGAAAGTTTTGGGTTTTTTTTAATTTTTTTGGTACCAAGGATCAAACTCATGACCTCACGTTCACTAGGCAAGTGCTTGAGCCACTGAGCTAAAGCCCAAGGTAATAGGAAATTAAAGCACCTTTATGTCAGACTTCCCAGTGGCTGGCTGGTTTTCTTTCTTCTCTCTCCCTCCTTCTTACCTTATAATGGGGTATGTGGGGGCCCTATCTTTCCCCTTTTGGTTTTAGACAGGTCAGATGGGCTATGGGAACCTTAATCAACCACTCAAACACTTCCTGAGCCCCTCTTCTGTACTCGAGTGATGGCTGCTGAGGCACATAGAAAAGTGACTGAAAAATAGTGCTGTCAAATGCTTTACAACTCATAAAGGCCAGAGACATATGTAATCTTTATGGTACCTTTCTCAGACAGCGTAATTACCACACTGTGAAATATAATCTGATAACACATGAAGTAATATTTAATGAAATATATACCCCAAGCCAAAAGTGACATATATCTAAAAGAAAATAAGAAACTTATAAAGTAAATGGAAAATCACTGATCAGAGTATTACCAACCTTTCCAAAAGAAAATGGAATTAAACTGAGATGTAGTTTGATTCTTTGAATGACTACACTCCATGAAAAATTTTAGAGCAGTTCCTTCATGAACATTAGACACAAAGTAGGTGACCATTTATAGCTTAGCGGGAGGTAGTAGGAAAAAACCTCGGATTTCCGTTGTGAGTTTTACTTCCTTTTCACATCACTGTCCTGCTGCTTTCAAACATGTTTTGCTATTAAAAAGCTGCTAAACAATAAGTACCTTCCTGGGCAGAGGTGGCACTTGATAAAATACATTTTTATCTACAGGAAAATCATCAATTCATAGCAGGTTACTTTTTAATTTTTTTGGAAACCTAAATACAATATAAACAAAACTTGTAAGACAGAAAAAAAGATTGGCCCTTTAACATTGCTCTCTTGTATACCTGAAGCCATTGATGGTGAACCTCTTAAAAGCTTTCAGTAACAACAGCTGGCTAATGGCACACAAATGCGATAGGTTCAATACAAATACCCTGAACCAGTACCTCAACCAGGGGCTATTGTGCTCCCAGGAGTCACTATAGGTCTCACTGCTGGGGGCAGGGTGGATATTAATAGCATCCAGGAGGCACAGGCAGGCTAACAATCCCACAACACACAGGATACTCTCCACAACAAGGAAAGTCCAATCCACCCCAAATCTCAGCAGTGGTGAAGCGGAGAGAACCATTCTATAGAGCTCCTGTTAGTCTACACGAGGAAACATAATCTCTCAAAACTGCAGTGGACACACTCCCTTACAACTGCAGTAAAGCCACGTCCACAGCAGGGATACAGCTGCCTTCACTTCAAGTTCTACAGAAAAGTTAGTGTAAAAGTTGAGATAAAAACTTGCAAGGCCAATGACTAGTCACACAGTTTAACCTACTAGGAATGATTTCACTGATATAATGGATAGATGGCTGTTTACTGAATGACATAATTCTCCCTTTTAAGTTTTTGTCCTATACTGAGCTCCTTTGTCATATATAAAAATATTCCCATTTACTTCTGAATTATAATAAAAGGTGTCTATTTCCCAAGAGATGAAGTTGAATGATCTGTGGAAATCCCACGTATTTCAGGTAAAACAACTCATTTACTGACTAGTTACTATTGATAACCCATTGCTCCTGGCACTTGGATAATATCAAACAACAAAACAGATTTGAATTTCTGCTCTCAAGAAGCTTGCCTTCCAGTGGGGCAAGCAGGCAAACAAAATTACCTCCTGTTTTACCAGGCAGAAGTTCTGCAAAGAAAAAGTAGAACCTGGTGAAGACCAGGCATGTTGGGGAAAGTAGGACAGAGGCCTGCTTTGGTATAAACAGAGTAGCCACAGAACCTGTCAGGGTGGTATTTCAGCCACTCTGGAGAGAATTCAGGGGGTACACATGGCAAGAATGCTTGGAGCAGCGAGAACAGCTAAAGCAACTCACTGAGGCAGGGGTATGCTTGACATTATGAATAGCAAAGAAGGAATGAACGGAAAGGCAGGGAACCCAGGAGAGGCGAGGTCAGAAAATTAAGCATGCACCTGTCACACAAATCTCTCTAGGGCTCTGGATTGCACTCCCAGATACCTGCTGCCACCTCCTCAGTGGGGACGACATCGTCTTACTTATTTTACCAGGTTCACTCTGGATGCTGTGATGAGACAGGAAGAAGGCGACAGTAGAAGTAGAAGGTTGTTAGAGTCAGCGGTGATTCAGAACAGATACTGCAGGCAGGGAAGAGAGGCTGATTATGGACATACTGAGTGTGAAGGTGCAGCCTTCCCTTAATGCCTGCCTTAGAAGTACTAGTTATTTTACAGGTGTTCACAGACATTAAATACCAGACTTTACCATGGGTACAATCAGAGTAACCAATCACCAGGAAAATCAAGTGTTCTGTGTGGTTGAGATTATCATATTCTACTAGTGTCAGTTAAGGTATATTTAAAAATATTTTCTTAAAGCACAGCGCTCTCCTGGTGTGCATTCAAACTGCTTGAGGCAGAAGTAGTTATTTGCTTTCTTATTGCTCTGAATGTCAGGGGAAGCGGGGAAAGACAATTCACCTTTCTGAATCAAACTGAATTTTCTGACTACGATTTTATTTTCTAAGTAGGGGAGGTGTGTCCTGTGTAAAGTTCTTTGCATCTGTTTCTGTCGCAGGAACCCCTCGGCATCAAGCCCACATACCTTATTGATTTGATGATGCAGGCTTTGCAGAACCTATGGCCACAGGGCGTCTGCACGGCTTCCCGCAGAGCCATCAAGCAGATAGGGCACTCGTACTTGCTCTCCAGGGGCGGGTCGAACTCCACATCGTACCCCTGGATCTCTTCCATGAAGGAGCCGGACAGGGTCCCTGTGCTGGTGCTGGTCATCCCGCTCACACTGTCATCCTTTGCTGCAGTGCTGCAGGAGCTGGCCATGGCAGTGCAGCAGTCACTCTCAGACTGGCTGGATCCACAGCTGTTTTCACAGTTTAACAGACTCATAGTAACGGATTATCAAGTGCTCTGCGGAACAGCAAGGAAAAAATGCTTTAGCATGCAAACACACACACATATCCTTATACCTTATTAATGCAAGTCACCTATGAACTCAATTATAGTATAAGGTGTGCCAATCTTATTTACTGTCCTAGTTACTGTTTTTGTTGCTGAGATGAAATACTTGCTGCCCAAAGTTAGAGGAAAAGCTTATCTAGCTCAGTTTGTGGACCAGTTCACACTTGGTTGACTCCAAGGCAGGGTGGCATGGCAGAGGGGCATGGCAGAGGAAAAACAGCTCATGGCAGGCAGAAGGCAGAATCTAAAAGTGACCAGCAGCAAGCCTCTTTCCCTCCCGTTTATCTTATTAGCTTACCCGCCCTTAGCTGAGCAGCTCTCACACCCAGAGCCAGGCACTTTAATCCTAGCATTGCACCACGCATCCCATCCAGCAGCGCATCCTTGATCCCAGCATCACACACCCTAGACTCTGCCACCTCAGAAGAGCCCCACCTATTACCACATCTACATACAAACTGTAACATTTACAAAACAATTTTTAAACCGTCTGGAGCTTTGCTTTATGACTACTATTTTACAAATTATCTGATTCCCTCCTTCAGAGAATTATACACGATGATCTATGCAAAGCACTTAGTGCACACAAAGGCTGGGCCCTTAAAGGAGCTCATGATCTGGGAGGATGACAATGTAAGGTTAAAAAAGAAAACGCACTTCAGCTGTAACACTCATCCATATCATGTTATCTCTATTTACACGTCTGTTTCCTGTGACGTGGGTCAGGAACTTTTCATTTCCATACCCTCAGTATTAACTGCAAGAGTGTCAGATAATAGGTGTTCATTAAGTATCTGCTGAAGAACCGAGTCGTGCTGCTTAAGTTCCTTCAAGCACGCTGAGCCGAGCAGCACGACAGAGCTGGCAGGGCGGTGCTAGCAGAGCAGTGCAAAGGCAACAAGTAAAGTGCGCTTCTGAGCAAGTGACTTGGCTATTTGAATCTTGTTTCTCCTTCCAGATCCAAAATTCTAGCAGGACTTCCCAAAGGTCAGTGAGGGGATTCTGACTGCACAGCAAGGATGGAAATAAAAACACGAATCTTTTGTCCTTCTGCCTTCAGTCAGGTCAAGTGACTGTTTTATTATTCATGACTGAAAACACAAGTGTGGCTTCTTAGCTTATGAAAAACTAGTGATTTCATGAGCATATGGGATATTTTAAAATTCTAAACCTTTATGGTACTTACGTGACGAGCTGTCTTTACAAATTTTTATTGGTACATGTTTACAGTACATAATGATTTTATGCCTCACGGTAAGCGGTAAATGTATGTATCTTTTATAAAAATGTGTTTTATTTTTGTATTTTTGTATCAATACACGTTTGTAGTACACAACGGTAACAATTATTGTGGGGAGTTGGTACACGTGCATAACGTATCAACTCTTTTCAATCTTTTCCCTCCTCTCCTTCCTCCATCTCTTCATTTCTTTCCCTTTTGTAAAACATTTTCCTACTTTCTATTATCTACTTTTTATTTTGCTCTTTATCTATATACTTTGGATTTTTCATATAAGAGAAATCATGTAGTATTTAAACTTGTGTGTCTGACTTACTTTACTTAACATTATGTTCTCAAGGTGCGATTATTTTCTTACAAATGACTTTAAACATCCTTCTCTATAGTAGAGAAGTACTCCATTGTGTGTAAATGCCATATTTTCTTTATCTATTCATCCACTGATGGGCGTATAAGCCACTTCTAAGATTTAGGAATTATGAGTTGTATAGCTGTAAACACAGGTATGCATGTATCACTATAATATGCTGTCCCCTTCGTTCTCGAAAAGATAACAATGAGAAACAGCTGCATTGAATGGAATTTCTAATTTTACTGTTTTGAGGATTCATCATACTGATTTTTGTAGTTTGTACTTATTTACAAAGGTTTCTTCTTTTTTCCCTGCCACTTCACCAGCATTTGTTATTACTGATTTCCCAATGATGGCCATTCTTTCTGGGGTGCGGTAGAATCTCAGTGTTTGAATTCGTACTTCTCTAAAATAGCCACAGATATTGAACATTTTTTCATGCATTTATTGGCTATTTGTACTTCTGGCTATCTACTTGAAGAGGATAAAATCTAGACCCATATCTTTTACCATGCACTAAACCAAAATCAAAATGGATCAAAGATTGAAATGCTAAAACAGAAACAATCTATTGGAAGATAAAACAGCTAAAACTCTTGACACAGGTGTAAGCAAGGACCTTCTTAACAGAATACAAATGCACAAGAACCAATAAATGGGTCCAAATCAAATTTAAAACAAAAACTGCCCTGGGCTAAGGGTTTAGCTCAGTGGCATAAGCGCCTGCCTGGCAAGCAGGAGGTCGCCAGTTTGATGCCTAGTACAAACAAAACAAAACAAAACTGCACAGCAAAGGATGTGTAGCAAACTAACAGGATGAAAAGACAAACTATAGAATGCGAAAAAGAATTTTTACCAGCTATTCCTCAGAGACAGGACTAATATCTAGAATATATAAAGAACTCAAAAAAGATCAAAGTCTCCAAAGTAAAATATCCAATGAAAAAAATAGGCAACTGAAATGAACAGACACTTATATCTTAAACCAATTCACAGCCCTCTAACTGTATCTCTACTTTAGATAACTACTCTTGAGGAAAGCTCTTAATATGTACCAGATACAGTTCTAGAAGCAGACTATAAATGTCTAGTTAATACAGCAGGCAATTATCCCCTGCCTATCTCATAATATATAAAAATTTTGGCTCCCACCTTACCAAATCTAGGATTAAGACAGCAGCCCTCAATCCTTTTACCCCTATGAATATCTCCTTATTTATCTTACAGACTAAGAGTACCATTTATTCACCTACAAAGGCCAGTGAACTGTCCTGCCTGGCAAGGCCTGAGTGAAATGGTGAGGAGATCAGCTGCCAGACTGGATGATCTGGACTTTACTCTTTACTTCCATGACCTGGTGTATGACATGGGTAAGTTATAACACTTTCCTGTGACTCAATTTCCTCATCCATAAAATGGGAGTTTAACAACTGGATTCACCTGAGAGCTACTGAAAGGATTCAATACATTCATGTATATGCAAAACACTCAGGACAGCCTGGTGGTAAGACTGAATTATTATATCCCACAGCTTTATATAGTACTCTAATAGTTTTATTGACCTCACTTGCCAAAGTGGGAATTCATAGCTTAAAAAGGTTAAGTAACTTCCCCAAGATTACCTAATTAATAAAGTATGTACTTGGTAGTACGCCATGTTTATCAGTGTTTTAACAAATATACCTATGAAGCAGCATTGAAGACTTACTTCTCCTTGTTTTTATTATAGTATACTAATGCGATGACTATAACTACTATTACGTACTTTTTAATTTAAATTTTTATTTTATTGGTACAAGTTTGTAGCCCATAATGATGAAATTCATTGTGGGTAGTTGGTATCCATTAATTAATTTTAATTCTTTTAAGTTCCCCTCCTCTCTCTCTTAAGTCCCTCTATCTCTTAGTCCCCTTCTCATTTACAAGAGTTGTCCAGCATAATTAAACTGAATTGATCAAATTCCAAAGAATCAGCAAAGATAGTTGGTATTTTGTTTTCCACGTTTAGTTTTCATAGCATACTTCTGAAAAGCTGGAAATACCTTGCTATTTCTAATATGGACTCCTAGAGAAGGTCATGCAGATTGGGAGAAAGGAAGAAATGTAAGATAGTGCCCAACAGCAGTCATGTACACAGCGGCCCTAAGATGAGGCCCAAGGCCCTCTTTGTCCCCTTCGTACTTGAGGATAAATGACACTGCCATGCCACATCATGGTTTACACCTTTGCTATTTTCCTTCTGATATACAGTACTGTATCAGTTACTTCCTGAAGTAAATTTCCTAGGAATAGAATTGTTGAGTCAAACTGTATATAAATTTTTAAGCTTTATGACAGGTAATGCTGGTTATCCAACTTAAAACAAAGGTTTTCTGATTCTCATCCCCACCAACTGTGTATGAGATGGCCCATTATTCTGTACCCCTGACATTAGATATATTTATCTCAGTAAAATCACTCATGAAAAAATATTTATTTGTTGTATACCACCTACCACAGTATAGCCCCAGAAGACAAAGGCAAACAGGAGTGAACTTAGCCAACCTTTTCTGGCCCCCTATCCAGTTTAAAATTCAGTTACAAACTGTGTATATACTATCTTCTTCTTGCCTTGTTCAAAAGACTTTAAGGTCGATAAACTTGAATGCTAATGCATTCCTACGAAAATCTGTTCCATTAGTCAAGATTCCTTCAAAGAAACTCCCCTGTGGGAACACAGTGTAAGACATTAAAGTGGACCCTCTAACAGGTTATCACATGCCCACAATCCTCAGACCCTGGGAGGCTAAGGCAGGAGGGTCCCAAGTCCAAGTCCTATCTGGATAACTCAGTGACTCAGTGAGACTTTGTCTCAAAATAAAAAAAATAAAAAAAACAAAACACAAAAAAAGAAGACTGTACCCAGCATAGTACTTCAGCACAAAATGAAACAATGTAAAGTTAATGGAAATAGTTCTGGAAGTCCTAATTTTGTCTTTACACATGTGATCACAAATACAGTGAATGCTGACATCAAATTTATCCAGTGGAAAGGCAGGCTTGTAAAAACATTATTTTGAGTCCACAACAAGCAGTTTCATCTGCTCTGATATCATGAGACTTCTGACTGGTCCCCAAAGTCAAAATGACCCTGAAAGTTGATAGCTTTGAGTCATTTTAGGATATCAAGGCAACTGTGACACCGCATCTAAAGTCATTCACAAGAGACTTCAGAACTGCTTCAGAAAACAACAAAATGATGAGATAAGTGTACAAGAAACAATAGGGAGTATTTTGAGGGGGATTAATGACAACATGCTTTTTACTGTATTAAACATTCACCTTATTTTCTGATCCTACTGCGTATCTTTCAGACAAACCTTTGGACACTCATTCTCTAAGTCTATAGTATACAGTCCCATGTAACTAGCCTGCAAAGGGAAAATGAAGCTGAAAGTGGTATTTTTGAGTGCTGTTTTCTATTTTTATGTTTATTCCCCTTTGGGTAAGTTAAAATACTTTTTTCTTTACTTTTACCTACTGCAATAGCTAAAGTGAAGATACACTTTTCTAACTACAATGAATAGCTATTTTAATTAACACTGAGCACAAAAGTGCTTTGAGCTGGCTTAAAGTAGGAACAGAAGACAATGTGGATGCATACCATACAACACTAAGCTCCGGATCAGGATTCTTTTTAACCTTGTTCTATACCCTACAGAACCACATCAAAGGAAGGGCAAAGAAGAGCTAAAATAAGAATTAGTATGCTTTTGTAAAATACATTTGTTTACTTATTTACATGACTTTCTACGTGAGTTAATGGAGAGGATGGAACAAAGTTTAAATGGTCCCTTAGGTATGTTAAGAGCTTGATGTTTCCAATTTTCTTTATTGCATTTGGGAATCTAGTGTGGGAAGTACTATTTTATTTAAATATTGAGGTGTAACCACTGGTCAAGTTATTTTGGCTGCAAAATGAGTATTTTAAATTAGCCTTGTCATAAACCATGGCTTAAATCTCAAAATTAGTACCTGCACATACATTATAATCTCAAGACACTACTGCTACATGTTGTAGGACATGGGAAGAAGTCCAGTAATTCACTAAAACTTGATTCACTAACAGCAACAGTGCTAATAAGAGAAATGTATGAAGTTAAAGAATATAGTATGTTATGCCTTAAATGAGTCAATTTCAAGTCAACTGAAATTCAAACATGAGTAAATATTTAACTCGTAAAGTAAAACCATGTAAAAGAAAATACAGATTCCTTTAATTTGTCACCAGCTTTAGAAATAGAAACAACTAACCAAATCCTTAAAATCTGTAGCTAAAATGCAAAGACCTACAAATGTGTTACAATGGACAAGAGATGGTACAAAATATGCAGTTACTGTAACTTAACGTTGAATCCAAATTCAAGGTGCATTTCCCTTCTTAGGCACTGTTTTCTTCCCTTGAGGAGGCAAAGATTTGAACAATTTCTTTCACAACCCAAATGGCCAAACATTTGCTAGCACCAGGTATCAAAAATGATCACACAGCAGTCCTCGCCTGATAGTTCTGAAAATTATAATGTACCTCGTGTCTTAAGGTTGAAATCTGGGTGACTCTTCTGTAATTCACATGAGAAACTAAGGCCAGAAACATTGGTTCTTTCGGTCACAAAATAGGCCACTGTCCTTAATGGATCCCCAACCTCCAAAAACCGCAAAGCCCCTCTACCTTCCCTAGTATCAAAGAAGGGATCAAATGTCAGTAGCTAAGTTCAAGCTCCTAGCATTCTTTAGGTACTTTCTGTTCAAATTCAGGGCAGTCCTAACTCTCAGTTGGAGTTCCCCTGAAGCCAAATACAAGGAACAGCTTTATCAACCCAAGCGCTTGGAACAATCACTAGATATACCGAGGGCAGAGGCGGGGAAGAAACATTAGTGTCAATTTTTTTTTTACATTCAGTCCCCGAACTTCTATGGAGTCCAACAAGGAACCTAAAAATAGCTTTTCCATGACAGTGACAGAGGGAGTCGCTGGGAAGGTAAAGTTTTTGTTTTGTTTTTGAAAATTTCAACTCCTGCGAGATCCGCGGGGCGGAGACCTGCTGGAGGCGGCCCCTTTTCTGGGAAGGGGACAGGAAGGCAGGTGAGGGGCGCAGGGCGCGGAAGTGGCCGGGGCGCGCGCAGGGAGTGCGGGGCTCGGGGACGCGGAGTCCGCCGACAGCCGGGAAGCGGGGTGCGGAGCAGTGCTCCCCGCCCGCGCGGAGGGAGGGGGGGTGGCGGGCAGCACCCCGAGCCCGTCCGCGGACAGCGGGCTCCCTTGGGCCCCCGAGCCGCGGGAGGCGAGGACGCTCTGGCCCCCGGCGGACTCACCGCTGGAGCGCGCGGGGTGCGAACACGGCAGGCGGGGCTGCGTCGGCCGAGGCGCCGAGGGAAGATGCACGCGGGGTTCCGAGGGGAGGCGGCCGGATACCAAGCTCCGGCCCGCAGGCCGCCGCAGCTGTTGGCTACGCGGAGCACCGGGAACCTGGCCCCGGGTACGGACTCCACTGCTTCCGCCTTCTCCGCTCTCCCTGGGCAGCCAGAGGCGGGGAGCGCGGGGGAGGAGCCAGAGCGGCCCGGGCCCACGAGCGCCCCCTGGCGCGGGTCCTCCACGGCGAGAGCTACTGCGCAGGCGCGGGGCTCGCTTCTGTGAGCCAGGTCGTTTGGTGGGCTTCCCTCCTACTCAGGTGTCCTCCTGTGGAAGGTCTTGCTCCACAATCCTGATTCATAGTCTCATTCTCCCCTGCCTTCATCTCTCTCTCTCCCTTTCTCCGCTCTATCCCTCTCCTCTTTCTCCCTTCTCTCCCTTCCCTCTCTCCGGTGTCTCTCTCTTTTCTTCTCCCACTGTCCCCCCACCTCTCCTCTCTCAGCTCTCTCCTCTCTTCTCTCTGTCTCTGCCCTCTCTCTGTGTCTCTGTCTCTGTGTGTCTTTCTGTATTTTTCTCTCCTCTCTGTGTGTGTTGCACGTCAGGGTTTGGGGGTAATCTGCGTGTGATGAATCAGTCCTGGAATAACTGATTTGGTGCGCATCAGAGACACCAGTAATCCCAAATTGCATTTTCATAGCCTTCCTATTCAAGCAGGAGAAAAACCCATCTCCTAAGATCTCTTCGTTTTGGAGAATTCTTTAATCTCTAACTCCACCCTCTTTGCCAGGGAAGTTTCCACTTAGGTAGAGCCATCTATTAATCACACGGTCCTTCCCCTTCACCCAGGCCAAGGGAGTCAGCCCATGCATGAATACTAGCCCGTCCCTTGTCATTGTCATGAGAAAACTATTTTGAATTCCTAGTTTAACTGGACAGAAATGTCTACGAAATGTAGGGACTCATTGCAAGCCATGCACGAAAAGATTTGCACCCACTTCAGCAAATTTGGTTGTCTTCCACCTCACAGAGTACGTGATACAGGGGAGTGGTCATATGTACATAGGTATGCTGATCCAGTGTTTTTTTTTTTCCTTTCATGAGCTGCATGAATTTAGATTAAGTTACCTAATCTACATCTCAATGTTCTTATCTCATATTAATGTGGTAATAGTAATAAAGTTGTTGAATGGGATAATTTAATACATGTATAAATATGTGATTTAAAATTGTCTAGGAAAAGATAAATATGTTCTCAATAAATATTTACCATAGTATAGATCCTGGTTTTATTGGCAAATGTTTACTAAAAATGCTTATCTATTTAAGGCAAGAGTTTGTTGTTAGTTGTCAGACTCAGTTGATTCCCTTTAAAAATGTGTCTCAAACTATTTGAGATATAAAAATATAAAAAATTATATCCAAACATTTGTGTTTGTCCCACTTTAAAAAATAAAGCATTGCCAGTAGAATGTCCAGTCCTTGTGTAACCCTCCCCAATATCACCCTTTTACAAATAAATCTCTTAAGGAATGGGAAAGCAATCATCATATGAAACTGAGAGATACAGAAAAGGAAGACCGCGGGAGAAAGGTTTCTTACTATTTATTAGGATAAGCTTTGGTGTAAATTAAGTCTTCTCCCAGCTTCAGTTTCCAAAAGTATAAAAAAAGATAATGATGTCTGTCTAGCAGGACTTTTGTCAGGATCAGCTGTTAAAAAAGAAGTCTATGTGGGAGAACTCAGCACTAGATTTTCAAAAACAGAATCAAATGTCTTGGGTGTATTTCTTTACCCTGTTAGCATCCTTGAGGGAGGACCCTTTTCTACCTCTAAATCCTATTTCTTTTTTAACTACCTTGTAGACTCTCTGGGCTCACCCATGCCCCAGGCACACAGGAAACTTACAGTTCTCCATTACACTCAGACAGGGCATGTGACAAATTCTGACTCATCATCTGTGGAGGGAAGAGGTTCATCATTTTTTACGGCAAAGCATTTTATTTTCATCATAAGATGCTTCCCTATATTCAACCACAAAGACCATGGAGTGACGATAAAAAGGAATGGTGGACTATTGAGTTGCCATATAGATAGCAATTGTCAAATGAGAGACCCTATGAGAAAGTTAGAGACAGCTGTCTGGGAAGGAGAGATTTGAACTATAAACATGAAAGATAGTTTCTTCACATAAAGATCTTTAAACAGAGCAGTCTAGGCAGAGGCAACAGCTATTGTGAAGGCTTGAAAGCTGAAATGAGTGAGATGATTTATAACTCAGCATCTGTATATTCATTGTGGCTTGTGGGTAGGAGCTGAGTGGACTTTTAGGCTCCCCACAAAGCAGCTGCATCCAGCTAGTTTTCAGAAAGTGATCTCGTGCAGAGAAGCTGTGTATTCACAGAAAAAAAAAAAAACAATCTGGTACATGCAATCCGATAAAAACACTTTATATTTAGAATCTTTCCCAATCCAGAAGAACCAAAAGTAGATGGGACAGTTTTTTTAAATTAATGACAAAAAAAGCAAGTTAATTGGGAGAGGACTCTGATATGATAGAACCTAGCAAAAAGGTTAGTGTAATGCATTGTGGTATTTCCCAAGTAATTCTGTCTAGGGGATCTCCTCTGGGTCAAAATTGCCTCCTAGCTGTGTGTTTTTAAAAGCAGACATTTTGAGGATGGCCTGATGTCATTAGTTTTTGAGTTGTAAAAGCAATTACCTATTGCATGATTTCATGGTTTCTAACGGTTGTTAAATGAAGGCACAAGAGTACATGAAAGTGTATTACCCAATAAAGGAGTTTGGCTTTGGAATATACTTCAAGTTTAAAAACTTAGAGAACTGGCCCTGCCCTTCCTCTCTCTTCTCCGTGTTTTTCACCTCCTCTAGCAAAATGAGGCCAAATGCTCAAAGCAGAGGAAAGAGGAGGCAGTGAAGGAGCAGGGGATGAAAGGTAGAGGTAGGCTCCAGATAGTAACAGCAGGTTTGGAGCAGTGCCTTTGGCTAAGTCAGCTGTCCAGCCTAAGAGCAGACTCATACTAGAAGGCAAACATTTAGCTTTGGAATCACCTTTGAGTATGACCTTTTTTTGTTACTGTAACAGAATACCTGAGGCTGGGTGACTGTGAAGGAAGGAGGCTTGTTTAACTCACAATTCTGGAGGTTCCAGGGCTCACATCTGATCATAGTCTTCTTGCTGACAGAGTTCCTGTTGGCACATATTATAGTATCATGTAGCAAAAGACAGGGAGTATGCGTTTGTCTGGGTGTTCTGGTCTCTCTAGTTCTTCTCTTAAAGCTCTCAGCGTTCAATCACAGGAGTGCCGCCCAAATGCACCTGTTGAATTCTGCTTCCCTAAGGCTCCTCTCTAAATGCCACGGTAGAATTAGGTTTCAGTTCCTTTGATACTTCACAATAAAGCTCAAAACCAGCATAAAACTCAAACATATCCAAATAGGCATGACCCTTTAGAACCTAGAGAAGTTTTCCATCTTGTTCATAGCAAAGAGAGGTCTTTGGTAAAGTTTATCTACTAGTAAGGAGTAACTGTAATTTTCTTCTCTCTTCATTCTCTTCCTCAAATCCAAATCAAGAACATAGGCTGTATTCATTTAACCTGTTTTTAGACAAAGAAGAAAATAAATGCTTGTCCTTCTCTCTTTTTCTCTCTTTGTCTTATTATCTCCCCGCCCCACTTTCCCATTTAGGGGAGAGGGAAAGCTAGGAACATTGGAACCACTTTTTTCCTAGTTTCATTACTGCTCGTCAAACAATGTTGAGATGATAAATTGACCCAGTTAACTTCTTACCTTGAAGGAAAGAATGCATCAGTAAGAAAATGTGAATATTCAATGTATTTGTTGCAGTTTTAATGTAAAGGAACTGTTTTTTGTCTGATTTGTATTTATATTTCTTGTGAGATGTATTAGCACACAGTGTGTATAAAATAATAATTTTTTTGCAGTACTGGTGACTGAATCCAGAACGTCCACACTGAATGACATCCCCATGCCCAGCTCTTTTTTGATTTTTATTTTGAGACAGTGTTTTGCTAAGTTGTTAAACTGCTCAGGCTGGGCTTGAACCAGCAATCTTCTTGTCTTAGACATCCTGAGAACTGAGAATAAAATCAGTTTTTGATATGACGGAGCTAAGGGTCAGGTAATTGAGCAAGGCAAATAATACATTACAATTTGTACTTATGCTTTTTATTCTGGATACATTTTTAAAAACTACTATTAAGAAAAAATCATACAAAACTTAAAATAAATTACAAGAATGTCTAACTGTTCCTTTCAATGTCCTGTTCAACATACTATTTACTTGTCTGTGTTGGAGTATTTACCTTTGTTTAACTTTGTTTGTTTGTTTTTGTTTTGTTTTTATTTTTGGTACTGGGGATCGAACTCATGACCGTGTGCTTGCCATGCAGGTGCTTATGCCACCTTTGTGTGACTTTGCTACTTACATTTTTTTTGCAGACCAGATTTTTGAAGCTACACAGTAACTTATAGATTTCCATCCTGGAAGAAAATATAACTCCAAGGTTCATGTATTAAAAGTATTAACCAGGGTCCCGGTAAAGATGGCAGATAGATATCAGCAGGCTACAGAGGGTCTCTGAGATAGTCAACTTAGAATTCAACATAATACAGCATGGGGTGTCCCGAACAGAGGGAGATAAATCCTCTCGACCCAAGGTGAGAAGAACCAATCAAACATACAGTCCTGGTGCTAAGATTGGAACAGCTAAAGGCTCGGGGCTCCTGCTGCAGCACCCGAACTTGCGCAGCAGTGACTTACTGAGCTGTCTGAAATCCCACCGCTTCAACTCACTGGAAACACACTTGCACTGAGGATGGGAGCTGGTGAACCAAATGGAGAACTGAGCTGGCAGGGAACCTGCATTGACTTGTGGTGAGTGATGGGAATAAAACCTTCCCATAGGAAAAAAGGGGCTCCAATAGACAACATTCTGGGACCGGGCAGACTGGTGAGAACAAGGAGGTGCTGTGACTTCAGTCAGCTGCTCCCTTCTCAAACAGGACTGGTGGGGAGCACTTGACCTGGGTCACACACTGGACTGAGACCCAGTAGGCTAGTCCAAACCAAGTCCCTATGCCTGGCAGCTCACCCTAATGCAGTGAAGCCCTCAGCAGGTTGACTGACCTGGAGG